TGTAGCTATCAACTTTTATTTACACGCAAAACATTAACAACAAATTTCATTTGCAACTGGTTCTTGTGATTTATTCTCTCACGAAATACACATTTCCCCAAGTTCCCGTTTTCCTAAGATCACTTTAAAATAAGTCGAGACAAAAATCATCAGATAAATGTCATAAATATATTTTCTAATCAGGCAATAAGCTGTAACAAATAACTTATGCCTTTTTGATACGGGTGTGGTCAGATTTTGGAAATAAATAAACTGTCCTTTAAAATGTTGAAAATAAATAAGCTGCCTTCGACTGTTGAGGAAAATAAATAATCTGTCTATGTACTAGCGCAACCCCCCCTCAATTAGACTTGTAAACTTCTTTGCCTAGAGATTTTTTCATTGAACAAGAAATAACTAACCTGTCCTTGATTTTATTGGTAATTTAAATTGAAACCTTTACCGCCATAGAAATAAATACACTTAATACGATTTGCTCCCCCTCTTTTTTCATAATCAAATGATCATCACCTAATACCCCCCCCCCCTTGAAAATCAAGACTTTCTGAATTTTCAAGCTTTAAATAGATAGCTATATTAACCTGTTGCACGTTGTAGGGCTTAACATTTTTAATAAACTAATATTAATCTTAAATGTATATTAAAAAGGATGATGTGACATAACTGCTATCTGGTGGCCCTTTTTCCACGACAAACGATATTGATAGTTTTCAAACATGAGTGAATAAATACGACGCCTTTAGAAGATTTTCAATAGTTCCGACACATTTTAATTACATGTATAAGGAATACTGCATTATCGATGATTTTTAGACCCTATCACGGCAAAAGTCTGCCTGGTTTGTGACAATATGTTCTTTATGGAAAGAGAATAGGCAGATCTTAGTACAAAAGATGGATATGCATGTCCGGGGAGTCTACCTTATATAGCAATGTTATTATGTATATTTCTCACATGTAGTCGCTTTAACCGAAAACAATTGTCCAATCCAATGACATAACGATAAAACATGCTAGTTTACTACATGTTTACATTTTATCACATATACATGCTGTAGTTCAATTACCTATTATCCTCTTCTATATTTCAAACTTTAATGGTCGGACAAGGCTGTTTTGGGTCATGAAATGCACATGAAACTTCAGTATTCACTGATATTAGGGAATACGTGACGGTGTAAACCTTGCGAATTCCCAGACACACTTTATAAAACTTATAAATGATATCCTATTGCAGAAAACTGAAAATTATAAAACATAAAACTTTGTATATATATCTCAATCAATTGTTTGTAATTGTTATCTCGAAATTTGTACATTCATAAATCCGTGTTAAATCTAAGACTGAAATGCATGAATTAATTATCGGAAGTTTTTTCAAAGAGTGGGACGGAGTCAAAAGTCAATGGGAATTGGATGTAAACATGAAACCCTTACCCAAATGAAAGATCTATATCTTTTAAATTATTCTATTAGGCTACACATATCAGTGATTAGTTATATGCAAAAAATAGAGTACAATTTACCTGGGACCGTAACGCTGTCATTAATAATTATATATTAAATGAATAATAATGGAAGTGGTTGTAATAAAATGTATTTATTTACTACACTAGTTTAACAGTTTTATTCTACGAAAACAAATAAAATAATTGATTACATAGACATGTATTAAATTTGTTTGTGTAACGTTGTTCTAGCAAGTGCGTACTGGCTCAGTCGGTAGCGCGTTGGAAACAGAATCAACACCTTCGGGTAACATGGTTCGAGTCCAGGCTGCGGAAGGGAATTTTTTCCGCAAGTGATATTCCAAATGTTATACTTCATCAGCAGTCGCAGCGCAGGGTGTCATTACTGACGTTTTCAAACAATCAAGCTTTGAATTGGTCTGTTATGTATAACTGCGAAACAAAGGCGTATGCACGCCTTCATGTATCGACACCGGCATTTGGCATCAACTTTGGTCGGGCGAGGAGGGACAAGGTTTGCTCTTACTAGGTCTCCAAGCTTTACGTCGGTATATCCCGGACGCCAATTCCTATAGTATAGAGCAGGTTGATTCGAGTAACGAACTCCTGCTAAGACAATTGGGGTCGACAAGTCGACCGACGGCATTTAGAAGCAGAACTGGGTCATTAAGACTATTGCTTTGTAATCTGTCGATCCTCTGTTGGCATGAGGAGTAGTTGCTAAAATGTTAAATGTAATGGGCAATTTACGCTGGTGTTCAGGCCATATTGTGAAGACTTTCAGTGCATGCTCAACCCCCCTCGAGCTCCTGATTGTTTTTATCCAGAGAAAGTACCAAAGAGCTTTTTCTGCCGCATACACTTCATTGGGTTTGCGAGGGTCCGCCTGGGGAGAGTTTGACTGTTGGTAGGTTTAGCTCTTAAGCTGGACGGGCCTGTGCTTGGATAAGAGCACACATTGGTCACGGTTACCGGAGGGGTGGATGTAAAGGCAAAAGATACAGGAGCTCGACCGCGACCCGGGCCTTAAAGATGTGGTTGCAAATTATATTAGTACAACAAAATGAAAATCCAAGGCTTTTAACGGTGATTTGAAGACATTCATTGTAAGCTCAACCCCCTCGAGCTCGTGATTGTCTTACTCAGAGGAAGTATCAAACTGATTCTCTGCCGCAAAGACCCTTTATTGGGTTTGCGAGGGTCCGCCTGGGGAGAGTCTGACTGTTGGTAGGTTTAGCTCTCAAGCTGGACGGACCTGTGCTTAGTTAAGAGCACACATTGGTCACGGTTACCGGAGGGGTGGATATAACCATTATGGCGATACAAATACATGCACTATGAGCTCGACCGCGACCCGGGCTCTTATAATGTGGTCGCATATTATCCCGAAAGATGTACAAACAGAAGCTCGACCGCGATCCGGGCTTTAAAACTGTGGTCGCCAACAATAAATGCAAACAAAAGAGCCCGACCGTGACCCGGGCTTCAAAGATGTGGTCGCACTTGAAATATTATTTTAGTTATGGTCTTTAAATTTGAAGGACCAAGATTAATTTGAAATGGTACATGGCACCTTCAAGCCATGTGGAAGTCCTTTTCAATTATTAGTTAAGTTCTTTAAAAAAACAAAGATAACAGTATACTCAATTTGAAAAAAATTACAGATTTTAGGCAAATGCACATGGCTTGAAAATATGACTAGCGTCCCCGTCGCGGTGCCGGGCGCCACACCTTCACTTAGTTAAATGTCTGCAAGAAATAAAGTATTTAAGTGGCCATTATTAATGATAAAAATTAAAAATCATAGAAGGGGGTGGTGAAAAAGTCAATGTGTGGTGGCAAATAGTCATATACATGTAAATTGAATGAGTTTAAGCAAATGCTAGATAGATTGTGGACTGGTGGAGAAAATGAACAGGGCTTAACTGGATACAATTAAATACATTTTGTGTTCTTACATAAATATACAACAAAAGATCAATACAACATAACTTCTTAGCAAAACATTAGCATACAAATGCTCCTTTCAGAAAATGAACTCAATTGATGCCTCGCTTCTGCAGTTAGTTGGTCTTTGTTTCAAAATGCGCCAAGAAGATAAGTTACCGGAGGAGCACCTGAAACTTGTTGATTCCATAACGGATCAAATTCAGCAAGACGTGAAAGTTATTAGAGATCATCACCATGAACTAGAACTAAAGCTTACTACCACTAAAAAGGAGGAAGCAATACTGAAACCAAAACTACACGAGTCAGAAAACGAAGTGGAAAAACTGAAAGAAACGTGTAGAAAACTTGAAAATGATTCAGCAGTTCTCAAGGAAAAGTGCCAAGATCTTGAAAGCAGACTTGACACAAGCTTGATTGAGGATGTTGAAATGAGTGGTACTCTGGTGCCAGAGGGGGTTAAGACAACTGATACTTTGATGTCAAAAGAGGGTATTGACATTCGCAGTCCATTCATGCCACAAAATGAAATTGTAGACAATTCATAGATGAAGTGAAACATTTATTCTTACGATAGAGAGATATTACAAAACTACAGAACTGTCTGGAGAAAATAGAAAAGACATTTATTTGAAAAGGAAATGTCTCCTTGTATTCTACATAAATGTAATTAAAGACGGGTAAAGAACCTGACAATGGTGGTCTCGTGCTGCCGGAAAATACCAGTGCAAACAATTTAACTAAAGATTGTTGAAACTATATCTGTTTCTGGCGACTCGTCACAATTATTTTCTGTTAGCAAATTAAAACATTGAATGAGCAATTGTTTTTCCTATATGAATATAGCATATGTGAATATAGTATATTTATGTTATGGATAATGCTACCTTTGTAACCATAATAATAACTTATTTACTTGTATCTCCAATATGTCATTCCCTTTTATACTGCAAACAACTCTTTGTAAAACCTTTATTTCTTGCCAAGTAGCATTGTATTTGTAAATAAAATGTTTAAAATAAAAATAAATATGGCACCTTCAAGTCATGTGTGATTTTAAAACACATGAAACCTTTAAAAATATAAATATTAAAATTTCAAAATCATCCTAAAATATAAAGAAATGATACGATAATCAAAAGCAAACACATGGCTTGAAAATGGCTGGCGTCCCCGTCGCGGTGCTGGGCGTCACACCTTCACTAGAGAGCCTGAAAAAAGATAAATATACATGTATTATGATTTATTAAAGCTCACTCACATTAAAAGGCTGAAAATAGTCAATGTGTGGCGGCGAATAGCCATATTCTTTTTCTGCTTTCCTGTATGTATCTGCACATATAATCAATAACCATGTAGATTATAATTCAACGGAGCTTTTTGTAAATTAACACATCAAAAATTTTTGCAAATACAATTAAAAATAATAAACTAGATTATCTACTTTCCAAGGTTTATGAAAATTTATAAAGAGCTCCCAAGGAGGTATATACATGTTCTAAAATACCTCCTATCAAAGGATGTGAAATACAATAAAACTATCTTTTCAGAATCAAGCTAATCACGTAGAATGAAACAACAATTATGGCCAAGCGAAAAAGGTCCCTTTCAAGCCGGGAACAAAAAGACAAAGACAAAAGAAGAAAAAGACTTAAGCGAAATGAATTAAAACCCTCCTTGGTATATAGTCCAGTGAATGGACCGTGGAGATTAAAGACTGCAGAATACTTTAAACTAGACAACATAAGCTGCCCGTCTGATAGTGAGGAAACATCTACAGAGTTAGGATATCCATCACTGCTACACGAAACAAATCCTGATGGAAATTGTTTTTTCAGTGCATTGTCTTATATAATCACTGGTACAGAAGAATACCACTCTCAAATCAGGTCACATATTTGTAATCATCTCCTTACGCATCAGGAAGAATTAACTAACGCTCTTCCAAACAAGTATTGCGAAAATGCAGAAGCATATTTATCAAATACTTCAATGCGATGCGAAAGAATATGGGCGACTGAAACAGAAATATTTGCTGCCGCAGATATGCTTAAAGTTGACATATATGTCTATTCCAAATACGGTCCACACTGGAAATGGATGAAACACAGTCCTACACAATCTGATGTAACAGGTGGAATATACCTTTACCATCGAAATTTGAATCATTATGATGTTGTTCTCAGTGTCCAAAATGAAAATCCAAAGGCTCTCAAGAAAAAAGAAATGTATGCAAAAAACAAAGAAAAGTATAGGAAGCAAGAAAACTTGAAATATACTACAGATCAAGAACTGCAACGACGTAAAAAAGCAGCCTCTAAACAGAAATACGAAAAAGACATTCAGTATCAACAGCGTAAAAAAGCAGCCTCTAAACAGAAATACGAAAAAGACAGTCGGTATCAACAGCGTAAAAAAGCAGCCTCTAAAAAGAAGTATAGAGAAGACGCAATATTTCAAGAGCGTAAAAAAAGAAACTTTAGGAAGAAATACAAAGAAGATAGAATGTTTCAACAATGTAAAAATGCAGCCTCTAAACAGAAATACAAAGAAGACAAGAACTTTCAACAGCGAAGAAAAGCAGCTTCTAGAAAGAAATACAAAGAAAATAAAGTATTTCGAGAGCAAGTTAAATTAGCATCTAGAAAAAAATACAGCGAAAATTTGAACTTCAAAAATCGTGTTCTATACTACTCACTAAGGAAGTACAGATCTAATACCATCTTTAGGCAAAATGTAAAAGCGTCCTCGATAAAACGGTATGCATCAAATTCTTTATTTCGCCATAAACTGAAAAGGCTCCTTTTCCAACAATATCACAAGGACCCAACCATTCAGGTTAAGAAAAAAGAAGCAGTGAATCAAAGACGCAAAAATCTTCATGTTGCATTGCAAACATTCACTAAAAACATCAAGAAAATCCCAACATATCCGTGTACAGTGTGTGCAAGGACGCTTTACAAATCTCAAGTAAAGATCTGCAACCGCTCCAAGTATGTAAATGGCAAATTCTCAAGTAATGCTACAAGATGTCTTAGTGGACAATATACTTACGATTCGAAGGAGTGGATCTGCATCACATGTGACAGACATCTGTGTGCAGGTAACATGCCACCACAAGCTCTTGTAAATGGATTACAACTTACGATCGTACCCGAGGAGCTAAAACATTTAAATCACCTAGAAAGACAACTTGTTGCTCTTCGAATTCCTTTCATGAAACTCCTCTCACTTCCAAAGGGTGGACAAAAAGGTGTCAAAGGACAAGTTGTAAACGTCCCGTCAAACATCAGCAGTATCACGACTTCTCTGCCTAGAACTATTAATGAGGCTCAGATGGTCAAAGTTAAACTTAAAAGGAAGCTGTCATACAAAGGACATTACCAGTATGAATGGGTTAGACCAGAAAAGGTAAAAGAAGCAATAGAGTTCCTGAAAAGAAATAACCCATGGTATTCAAATATAGCACTCAGTGACAGTTGGTTTGACCCAGAAACCGATTCAGATTTAGTTAAAGTAGACGAACAAGAAAATTCTTCGGATGAAGAAAATGAAAGTTCAGAACAGGAGAATTTGACAATGCACACACAACCAGTAGAAACGTGTTCTCAGCCTGTTGATTTAGGACAAGAGTATCTAGACACAGAGAACAAAGTTTTTTGCATTGCGCCCGGTGAAAATCAAACACCGCAAAGTATCTTCCAGGAAAAAGGAGCGGATGCAATGGCTTTTCCAAACCTTTATCCAGATGGCAAATTCGGATACTTTGAAGATCGACCTATAAAACTGTCCCCTACAAAATACTTCAATGCCCGCTTATTTTGCGCCGACAAAAGATTCGCAAGAGATAATCAGTTTATCTTCTTTGCTCAATTCATGATTGAAATGTCAAACATTCGATCAAACATATCTATAGCCTTACGGAAAGGGAAAGGAAATACAAATGATGGAGGTAAAGTAACGGCGTCAATGCTTACTAATGCTAATGATTTACAGAAAATTCTTAAATCAGATGCTGGTTTTCGTTTCTTACAACCAGTACGCGGATCGCCTCCATATTGGCAAAGAACAATGAAAGATCTATACGCCATGATTCGGCAGTTAGGAATCCCGACATGGTTTATAACGTTTTCCGCTGGTGAAACTAGATGGGATGAAACAATCAATGCATTAAAAGACCCGGAAGACCCAAGATCACCTGGAGATATAGAATGGACAGAAAAATGCCACCTTATAAGGGAAAACCCTGTGATGTGTGCCCGATTATTTAATAACCGTGTGCAAAGACTTTTCACAGACTTAATTATGTCCCCTTCACAACCAGTCGGAGACGTAGTGGATTTCTTCTACCGAACAGAGTTTCAGCAGCGCGGCTCTCCACATATCCATTGTTTATTGTGGGTCAGGAATGCACCTAAATTAAACGAAAACACAGAGAAAGAAATCTGTACTTTTGTTGATAAATATGTATCATGTTCCATGCCAAATGAGAAAAGCGATCCTGAACTCCATGATATTGTTAATGCTGTACAGGTTCACAGTAAGACACACACAAAGTCATGCAAGAAGAACTCAACGACATGTCGATTTAATTTCCCTAGGCCTCCAATACGCAAAACGTTTCTTGTAAAAGTCACAGAGGAAGACAATGAAAACAAGGAGAGAGAAAAAAATCAAACCACTAACATGCCAACACTTCAGGAAATTGAACACCTATGTAAATCTGGTGCCGAGAGATCTCCAAAACAAATTGTTAAAGATATATGGAGAATAATCAACTCAACAGAATCTAACTTAACATTTGATGACATTCTACTTGCTTGTAATATTACTTACGCCAAATTCAAGGAAAGTCTGTCTGCAAATACGAAGAAAAACACGATATATTACAAAAGAAACGTAGAAGATGGTTGGGTTAACAATTACAATCCAACTTTACTGCGTGCATGGAATGCAAACATGGACATTCAATATGTTATGGACCCTTACTCATGTGTAGCTTATATACTATCATATATCAGCAAAGCAGAAGCCGAAGTCGGCGAACTTATAGGAAATGCACAAAAAGAAGCACGAGAGGGCAACAAGGATGCGGCTACTGCAATGAAACACATTGCTCAGGTTTACGTCCAAAACAGAGAAGTGTCTGCACAGGAAGCTGTTTTCAGAGTTTGCAGCATGCATTTGAAAGAATGCTCAAGAGAAGTTGTATTCATTCCCACAGGAAGCAATGCAATTAAGATGAGTCTTCCTTTGAACATACTGAAATCACGAAAAGGAAACAGTGAAAATATATGGATGTCCTCCATCATTGACAAATATTACGCTCGACCAATTGGACAACCATTTGATGAACAATGTTTGGCAGAGTTCTGCTCATATTACTCTCTCTATCCAGCCTCTAGACCTCCAACTTCTTCCAAAAAAGGTGCACAGCTATTGCACTATGAACTGAATAATGGACTAGGGTACATAAAAGAAAGAAAGAAAGGAAAACAAGCTGTCATCCGCTACCCCCGATTCAATCGCTTGAAGCAGGAAAATGATTACTTCCTGACATTGCTTCAACTGTACCTACCACACAGAACTGTAATAATCAAACCTGAAGAATTCTTCAATTTTGAACATTACATTTTCAATGGAAAAATCGGAAAAAGATCCGTATTGAACATCATTAATGAAAACAGAGCTCGCTTTGAGAGGGATGCTGATAATTTAGAGAAAGCATGGGATGATGTACAGGAGGGCCGCATCGGAGAGGATGCATGGGCAGCAGTAGCCCCTGAATGTGAAGCAGAAAGACTCACACTGCAGGAGAAAAATACAAGCAAAGTTAATAACGAGGACGAAGACATATCTCCAGATATCGAACTTCTGGCGATTTCTAAAAAATCGTCTACATCTACCCAAGCTGGAATCATACAATATCAGAAACCTAAAATTTCTCCTACCAAAATACAAGATTCATTAAGAAAAATGAATTTGATTCAACAACAAGTATTCTACAAAGTAAGAGAATGGGTATTTGAAGTAGCATGGAAAAAGTCTCCTGATCCCTTTCATCTGTTTCTAACCGGAGGAGCAGGAACAGGAAAATCGCATCTCATAAAATGCATATATCACGAAACAAACAGAATTCTATCCAAAACACTTGAAACACCTGATGCTTTATCGGTGCTTATAACAGCACCAACTGGAACAGCTGCATTCAACATAGGCGGTATGACTTTGCATTCAGCATTTGGGATTAGCAAAAATATTAAACTCCCATACACGCCTTTGGGGGAAAACATCCTAAACTCGCTAAGAGCAAAATATGAGCACTTAAAACTCCTTATCATTGACGAAATTTCGATGGTAGACCACAAACTTCTAACATACATCCATGGCAGGCTGACCCAAATTAAACAATCTAAGAAGGTGTTTGGAAATGTTGCAATTTTAGCTGTTGGTGATTTCTACCAGCTTCCTCCAGTGAAGGCATCTCCTCTGTACAAGCTAAAGGATTCTATAATTTTAGATCTCTGGAATCCATTATTCCAAATTGCCAGCCTGTCTGAGATCATGCGTCAAAAGGAAGATGTAAAGTTTGCCGAAATGTTAAATCGTCTAAGAGTCCGATTGCGGGGAGAACCATTGCAACAAACAGACTTACAACTCCTTCAGTCTGTTTCTAAAGAGTCAATTCCGATAGAGTCAAAGAATGCTTTGCATATATTTTCAACCAACAACGAAGTGGATGCACACAATGAACAGATGGTAGAAACAGTCTGCAGTCCATGTCTGTACTCAACAGCCAAAGATTACACAAAAAGTACCTCAGGTACGCTGCTCTTGCGAAAGCTACCCTATTCCTCCTCATCGCCAGAAAACCTACCAGACATAATCAAACTTGGAATCAATGCACGGGTTATGCTAACAAGAAACATTGATACAGAAGATGGTCTTGTTAATGGCGCATTTGGTACAATATCTGCTATAGAGGTCAGGGGAAATGACATCGATGCGGTATATATACAATTTGATAACGAAAACATTGGCAGAAAAGCCATCTCCACCACAGTTTCAAATGTACAAGGATCAGAAAAAGCTGTCCGTATAACGCCATATGAAGATGTTCTTGTAGGACGAAATGCACTCAGAAAACAATTGCCACTTAAGCTGGGTTGGGCAGCAACCATTCACAAAGTGCAAGGGATGACAACAACACAAGTAGTAGTTTCACTTCAAAAGATATTTCAACCAGGAATGGCATATGTAGCATTAAGTAGAACAACTACATTACAAGGACTCAACATCTTGCATTTTGACACAGATTGTATTTTTGCGTCAGCAGAAATTAAGGAATCACTTTCTAGCATGCCAAACTACCTCCTCCAAACTGGTGTTGATGACAAATGTTATTGTCTGAAACTATTGTTGCATAATACAGAAGGTCTCCTCTCACATAGGAAAGACATTGAAAACGCTGGTTTTGTGAATGACTCCCAAGTTATATGTTTCACAGAAACATGGCTTACCAAGAAAGACTACGTACCTCCCAGCTTAATTCCAAACTCAGATGTTCACGCAGTCTATCGAGAGGATGCATACACATCCTCTGATCCCATATTTCGACAACTAAAATCACAGGCTAAGGGTGGGGTCGCAATATTTACAAAAGATGTCAAACATTCAAGGTACACGACCAAAGTAAAGGACTTAGAGTGTGTGTCAATACAAATATTAGAACCAACAGCGGTAGCGGTGTTCGTGATATACAGACCTCCAATATATCCAATGGATAAGTTTAAAGCCAAAATCAGCTCTCTATTATCCCAAATCAATCAAGAAATATCCTCCCCAGTGTTGATTCTGGGCGATTTCAATGACAACTACTTTGGAAAACCATCTCTAAAAACGTTGTTTACAAGCTATGGCTACCAACAACTTGTGAACAAGCCAACGACAGAGAGTGGCTCTTGTCTCGACTTGGTGCTCGCAAAAGACTTCCCAGAAGATCCAAATGTGACAATTGAACATTTGTATTATAGTTTCCATGATGCAATTTCTATTAAATTGTAAAATTTGTAAAGCAATGTAACAACTGTTCGATAGATGCGCAATGAGAATGCAAAATGTACATACAAATTCTATATAACTCATGTCTATTGTAATATAACAATTGTGTTTATTGTACATTTATTGTCATACATGTTAATTGGATAAGAGAGAAAATGCACGATGTAACTTATTAATTTAAATGTTCTACAGATGCGCGATAATAATGATTAAAGCTATGTACAGATTTTATTCAATTCATGTCCATTTTAATATAGAACATATGTTTATTGTACATTTATTGTCATACATGTTAATTGATTATGAGAAAAAACGTTTAAAAAAAAAAAAAAAAAAAAAAAAAAAAAAAAAACACTGTCGTCGTCTGCTAGGCGGCCTGATGAGCCCTTACAGGGCGAAACGGTGTTCAATACATTTTGGACATAAAGCATTTGTTATGTGTTGTTTGTTATGTGGCATACTTAGACCTTACAGGTTTAATTAGTGGAGAAATAGTCAGACAGTCATTTTCATATACTTACCGCCTCTCACATGGTCCGCCGTGTGAGGGGTATTTTTTTTTCTTATATACGCTAGAAGAATATATTTCTTCTTGGCATGGAGAGCTCTGAAGGGAGGAATCAGTGTCGTGCATCATGACATTGCGACGTCTTGATGAACCCTTGCATTGCACGGCGAAAAAGTAAAATGTACGGAATGACATTGTCGTGGTCTCCTAGGCTGTCTGATGACCCTTCGGAAGACTAAAAAGTGTAATGTTGAAAAAAAGAAAGACAAAGTTCCTTTCTTAAAAATGTTTCCGAAAAATTACAAAATCTTATATGTCTTGAATTGCAATCTGTGTCTTTATATGCCTTGCGAGGGATTCTCATGGGATGACAACATGTTTCTTGTATACACATTAAGACACTATTATAGTAATGCAGGCTGTCTGATGCAGGGCCTGTTTTTAATCAACTATAGGTTACTTTGTGTCAAAGTTAACAAATAGTAAGGGGACAGTGATGTCTTAACATTGCCATTCACATGGTCCGCCATGTGAGTGGTGTTTTTTTTTTTATTAAAAGGAAAACAATCTTTTCTGAATACATATATATAGTTTACTTGTGTCAAAGTTAGCAGTGATGTCTGAACATTGCCATTCACATGGTCCGCCGTGTGAGTGGGTTTTTTTTTATTTAAAAAAAATCTTTGTGAATTAATAATCTCCCATATACGAACCCTCTAAATACATACATTCACATGATATGCCGGGTGTCTTTTGTTTACAGAGAAGAGGGTCTTTTCTAAATATTGCGACTCGCATGGTACTGAGTCTGAGTGTTTTTTTTTTTAATTTCTTGTTGAAATAGGAAAACTGCCTTTTCTAAATATTTCTATTCACATGGAACGCCCTTGTTTGCCATTAAAATACTTCTTAAAATATTTAAATTGTATTAAATATAAAAAAAGTGTTACACATCTTTAGTGAAGTTTGTAGAGAAAGGTATCAATTTTTTATGCGTAATGTATTTGAAATGGTTTCTGGATATGTTATTCAGACTGCAAATGTCTACAGTAACGTCAAATATCCTTGTAAAATTTACTTCCGGTCGCCTGGTTTCCTGTCCTCAAAATGAGAAGTTATTATAGCTAGATCTCGTAAACGGTAAGAGATAAAGACACCAAACTTAAAGGAGAGATAGATCTTGATGAGTATGCAAAAACAATTTGGATAAGATTGTCCGCCGTCACTTCCGGTCGTCACAGGAAGTGATCAAAGAAATTAAAAAATTCAATTTTTCTTTCATGAAACTTATTTTGCATCTAATTAAAGCATCTTCTTTGTAGTTTTGAAATGTACCAGTCTCACCGGAAACAAAAACGACAACTTCCGGTTATAAGAGAAAACTGCATAGTTTGAGCATTTTTCTTTCCTATGAGTATCTTTTATACAAATATGTTTATATGTTATATAAACTGCTAATGTCTACAGTAACTTCCAATATCTTTATGAAATTCACTTCCGGTCGCGTGATTTTCTGTCCTCAAAATGAGAAGTTATCACAGCTAGATCTCAAAAACGGTAAGAGATTAAGACACCAAACTTATGAAATAATAGATCTTGATAAGTTGAGGAATTCCTTGTTATAAGATTGTTATAAGATTGTCCACCGTCACTTCTGGTCGTCACAGGAAATGATAAAAGAAATCGAAAATTTCAACTTTCCTTTTATGCAACTTTTTTTGCATTTCTTTTTAGCATCATATTTGTTGTTTTGAACCATATCAGTCCCACCGGAAACAAAAACGACAACTTACAGTTATAAGAGAAAACCTATATGATTTGAATATTTTTCTTTCCCATAAATACTTTTTATAGATAAAGTATTTGAAATGATTTTTGAAGAAGTTAATCAGTCTGCTTATGTCTACAGTATCATCCAATATCTTTGCAAAACTCACTTCCGGTCGCGTGATTTTTTGTCCTCAAAATGAGAAGTTATCATATCGAGATCTCGAAAACGGAAAGAGAAGAAGACACCAAACTTAAAGGAATACTAGGTATTGATGAGTGGGCAAATCCAATTGGATTACAGCTGTCACTTCCGGTCGTCATAGGAAGTGATCAAAAAAATCGAAAATTTCAACTTTTCTTTTTTGAATCCCTTATGGCATTACAGTTTTGCATCTTATTTGTTGTTTCGAAATATGTCGATCACTCCCACCGGAAACAAAAACGGCAACTTCCGCTAATATGAGAAAAACAACGTAAATTTGAGTATTTTAATCTCCAATAAATATCTGTTATAGAAAGAGAATTTGAAATATTTTTAGATATATTATTCAGACTGCTACTGTCTATAGTAAGGTCAAATATCCTTGTAAAATTTACTTCCCGTCGAAAGATTTCCAGTCCTTAAAATAAGAAGATATCATAGCTTGATCTCGAAACAGTAATAGTTCAAAAAACCTAACTGATATTATTAATAAACCTAGAGGAGTAGGGAAAAGATATAAGATTAAATGCATCAGCATTCTGGTTTAAAGAGATAACATCTTAATTTCGATGTTTAACTTTCCCATAAATATCACTTATAGCCGAAGTATTTAATATATATATATATATATATATATATATATATATATATATATATATATATATATATGAAAGGTACTCATAATCAAAATTCGATTATCGTGTAGACTTGAAAATTGAAGAGTTGTGAATTACCTGCGTTTTCATCACATATATATATTCCGTAAAACAAGTCAAAGGGTTTAAGTGCTTGCTATCTAATGAAAGTTATTGTAACATTACATATGTGAAGTATGAAATCCCAAGCCATAACTCTTCAAAAGTTATAGCCAAGGTTAATTTTTATAAAAAGTGGGCCAAACTCCAAGGTCAAGATCAGAAGTCAGAGTTTTTCAATGAAAGGACTTTTCACAAGGATTATATATGTGAAGTATGAAAGCTCTAATTCTTTCCGTTTTAAAGTTATGGCCAAAGTTTTTTTCCATGAGATGGAAATCTCCCAAGTCATTGTCAAAGTTGTTGCTATCAAATGAAAGGTATTGCCACAAAAAAAAACCTAGGTGAAATATTAAAAAGATAGTATTTACCACTCAAAAGTTATGGCCAAAGTGAAAATTAAAGATGTATGCGTAAAAAGTGGGTCAAACTCTTTGGTCAAGTTCATAATTGGTGGTACCTAAAGAAATGTCTTGTCACGAGGAACAAACCTGTGAAATATGAAATATGAAACTCATAATTCCAGTAATTCAGAAGTTATGGGCAAGGTTTAAATTTTTGTGATGGACTGACAAACTGACGACTGAGATTTAATGTCACCACGCTTTTGGTTACGATGTTCCCTGCGCTAACAAATTTCGAGAAAACTTGCATATAGATCACAGTCAAGGTCACAAGGTCATTGACCTTGGTGTCTATTTAAAGAACTTAAGGAGGAATGCCACACCAAGGTTTCAGCATTGAAAGGCCGATTTTAGCTCTTAATTTTTTATATGATTTTTTTGATATTTTTCCAAAAATTTGGAAAAAATATGTATGAAAATAAAACATTTTATTATTTTTTAAACTTGTGGATAAAAATCTTCTGAAAACCAGTCATAACTGGAGAAAACATGTCTGTTAATCATATTTATAAAAGAAATTGAAACGAAATAGCCAAATTTTAAATAAATTAATCATTTAAACTTTGACAATACTCGATAAAAATTTAACCGACTCCAACCATGAAAGTACAATTAATGGAAATAAATAACATTTCCCCAGCAACACTAATCTTATTAGGTGTAAAAAGGGTAAAAGATTATTGAGCTTGACAATCAAGTAGATTTCTTCACTGTAGCTACATGAAAGAGGCAATAAATTAGTATTTTATTCATTCTGTGTTAATTTTGATCGGGATCAGTTTTATTTTGATTGGGTTAGTCCAAATATTAAAAAAAAAATGATTCTCTAGAATTTCTCAATTTCTTTTCAATTTCATTTTAAAATATGATTAACAAACATGTTCTCCCTCGGTGCTTAAAAATATATCTAAATCCAGGAATCCATTTTTTGTTTGCGTCATCTCATTTTTCATCTGCCATTAAGCCTTTGGTGCAGGTGACAAAGCTAAGTTTAATAGAAGTACAAGAGAAAAGAATGTCGTGTCTGTAATCCCAATATACATCCCAAATTGGCTTTGTTGTTCTTGAGAAGATTTTTTCATGTATATTCCTTTGTAAAATATTGTTAACTCATATATATTCACTACCAGTGGATGCTTTCATATCAAATGGGTCTATCATCAAGAAACTCAATCTTCACCAAGATCTAAAAACATTCCAGAATATAAGGACCATAACTTTCATAAAAAATACAAACTTGAAATTGATGTGCAAGTCATCTTTATTAAATTAGCATATTATCTATATGTATAAAATCCAGAAAACTAATTACATATAATATATATAATATAATAATGGAAAAATAGAATGACTAACAAAAATGG